TCAGGGTCTTCTACAGCTACGTTTCGTTGAGTTCGGCAGTAATAGTATTTCCATTCTTCCTGTTATTGTCCGCAAAGGGGGTTGGAGTGGTGAGGAAGAGGGAGACGACGAATGCGAGCCCGAAGCTTTGCCGAGTTTTGCCGAAGCGCACGCTGCATTGGCGAAAGTGAAGTTGTTCTTTTATGCGCTTAATATTAGTGAACGTGACGAGGAAAACCTTTTGAACGTGGAAAGTGCTCTGTTTGGTCTAAAACGTAAAGTTTCGACAAACCAGTTGTCCATTAAAGACTTTTTTGGTAAAAAGAAGTAACTTTGAAAGAGAAACATTGTTTTTTTTAAAATTTTTAATGCTTTCCCGCATCTATCGTTTTCCCGCATTCATCGTTTTTATTTCCCACCCCCGCCGAAAACGATGCATCGAGGATTCACTGTAATCGTATTACCAGTGCCAGAATAAAGGAAAATCTAAAAATTACAACCAAATTCATGATTGGTGCTCTATGGCCTATATTTTATATTATATGTAATTTATCAAAATTAGCACTTCAGTGTCTTCACATCCAAACTGAAAACTCATATTTTTACATTTTTCAAATCAATACACCTCACTGATGAGGACTTTCTGAAAACAAATTTTTTGTTTCCTTTTAATTGTAGCCTTTTACCATGGCACTGGAAATATGAGAATATAAAACTATTATTTGCCCCTCAATATCTTACGTAACTGATACCCTTTGGTTACAAAACTCACTTGTATGATAGCTTCATGTGCCCTATAGTTCTCACACAGCAAGATTTTACATGGGAATGTTGTGGGATAATGATCATACAGCCGCTCCAAAAGAGAGACATGCAGATTGCGCTCTTTTGCAAACTGAGAGAATAACTCAGGGGACAGCTGCAACATAAGAAAATCACACCACGTAATCAATGAAGCACATATAACAACACATTATTTACTGTCAGCAGCAGTTTTGTAATGTAGTCATCTGATCAGTGTTGGTAAGAAAAGAAACACAATATATTTTCTCCATTTCTACCATTTTCAGTTACGCTAATTTAACTTCATGGTTGAAAGTGGAAGCTAGACAGCTGCAACAAAGTAGGAAATCAATTATTTAATGCCTTCAGCAATTTTCCAATTACAAAACACTAGTTTTTCTCTGATAACAGTACTTTTTCTAGTCGCCACTAACCTGCATGTGGTCTCCTGCCAAAACAATTCTTGTATCCTCATTTGCTAAAGCAAGTGGCATGATAGCTTCACATTCCATTGCTTGAGCTGCTTCATCTAATAAGATGTGGCTAAAGTGCCCTGTAAGAAACCATGTGCCTGCTAGAAATAAATCTGCAGTACAGAAACATCAAACTTCTCAGATACTTTAAGTTTCTGTGAGTTAATATTCTGATGAGTCTTATATGAAAATGAAAACTAAACAGTGTAGAAATAATTAACAAGTGCACAGCTGTGTGAAATATAACTATTTGGTGAATAAAATATGTGTTCCCCTTCATTTATTTTAGAATATAGTTTAAATGTAGGCAATAAAGATACTTTGCTTTACATATCATCTTATTCCACAATAGCAAATGTTCCCCTTTCTCGTATACATGTTGATTTTCCCCACTACAACACTTCCAATTATTTATCAGTAACAAAATGCAAAAGTTCAATAAAATATGACCTATAATTCAAGTTAGATACTCAGAAGACAGACACACAGAGACTAAATTTCCATCTTCTTTGCAACACATGCAGACCTAAGAAACAATGGGGTCACAAACTGGAACCAGAATGTAATATAGTTAGATCTTAAAAGCTAACAAACAGTTTACAACTTAATAAAGTATATATAAAATGCATTATACAGACCTTTCTGTAAACCAAGTGTTGAGAGATACATTGAGATGCTAAGAGTCACAACTATCACACGATGCTTCAAAACATCTTCCAATGTTGGAACTCTGAATGTTCTCACACCTCCATTCATCTCAATTAGACAGTACTGAAGAGAAAACAATAATCACAAATTTAAAACAAGAAATAATTCTAGCACTAAGTAACAGAGGACTTGATAAGTGCTCTTTGTGAGTTAATTGCAATATTTCTTAGAATTTTACAAATTATAAACTTTCTCTTTTCTAAAGATTTGCAATTTAAAAATACACAAAAACTAATCATGTATTTACAATGACAAAATAACATATCTAAAAATGTTATTTTATTTACCACCACTCTACACATTTTTAAATCTTAATGACATGGATATTATGCACAGACAGTAGTTCTCTGTTTTCTTTCACTGATACAAAAGACACTGCTTTTATACAGAAACAAATTTAAGTTTCCCTCATTTTATGAACAAATTTCCCAAATAGAAAAATAAAATGTATGTGAAATACACATTAATATATTTACCTTCTGAACAACCTGATTGACCGTTGCAACCCAGCGCTTATGATAATATATTCTAAGTGGACGTGCCTCTTCATGGCCTGCTTCAACATAAGGATGAAGATAATCTTTGATATAAAGATCAGCAGCACTGAAAAGTGAAGTAAATCACAATCAAAATTATTATAAAACAAATCATATTGTTTACTGGCATAGCAGAATATTTCAGCACTTGCTATGCTGTTACAGTATTAAGAAAACTATTTCAATCAACCAAATTTTCTAGCTACACAAATCCAAAATATTTTTCAACTTATATTTACAGTTGTGCACCTCACTAACCTTAAAATCTGTACAGCAAGTTTAAAAAACATGAGTCTCACCTGTTTGAATGTGTGCATACTAGGACTCGAGTATCAGGCTGGAGTAAAAGTTGCTTAATAGCTTGAGCCAATGTATATGTTTTACCAGTACCAAATGGCCCTAGAGAAAAAGTAAAGGCATTACATCAGAACTAACAGAAACAGCAGTATATCTGGAATGAACTGAAATTACACTGTTCAAAACTTAGCCTTAAAGCACAACAACAGCATATAACAAACCAGCTTCAACTATTTGTTCTGAGAACATTTAAGAGACAATTCTACACCAGTATTTTGCATCTAAAATTACACCATGTGAAAACATACGGTAACAGTGGTATGCCCACTGTTTATTCATTTAAAGCAAGAAAATAAAACAAATAACAAATTGTAATTATTTAGAATATTTCTGTCTTCTGGGTTGTTGCACTGTGTAGTCTGGTCGATGTTAACCAACGTTTCAGAGGTCATACTGCCTCCGTCATCAGGGCGATGAAACGTTGGTTAACTTCGACCACACTAAACAACACAACAACCCAGAAGACAGAAATCTTCATACTCACCGCTGTGAAAACCTCAAATCTTACATGTAATTATTTACTTTTCTGTCTTTACAAGAACAGCATCGAAGTCAACATTACTTGAAATATGTTCTACCACTTTGTCCATTGCACACGCAGTATAATTTAAAAATGACAATCACTATATAAACTCCATGTCCAAGAATATGCAGAGAAGAATACAATTATGAATCCATTTTCATGTACTTATTTTAATTCAACATAAATGAAAGCTGAAACTTCCAAAATGTTTATACAGTGTGCATCCCAAGTAGTATAAACGGACATAGACAAAGACATTTGTCCAGCACTGCTCAGTTTTACTGATCACATATCTAGTTTTGTTTCTCTGTTCATGTAATATAGAAGCCTAACACATTATTCTAAATAGATATTAACAATAAAACTGATTCTATACCATACAGATTGAAAAAATAATCTAATTACCTATGATAAGAATAGGTGGCAAGGGACAGTTGACAGGAGTTGTGATGGCAACTACTGCTTCTTTTTGTTTCAAATTCAGTCTACTGTCCAGAATGTCACTCCACTGCCTATACAAGAGTACACAAAACCATGTTATCAATGAGAAAACTCTGAAAGTGCATTAGAAAAATTGTTTTATGTCTAGTAGTAAAAACAGCACATAGACAACAAACTGACCTATTATTAAAAAATTCCTGTTTTAGTGAAATATAATAATCAAATTTTTCTTCTTCTTCAAACATAATTTGCTTTCTACACAGGTACACATATTACAAACCTATAAAAAACCCTATACATTAAAGTTAAAAACTTTGGTTTCACTGATTTTCACTCTTTAAAAGTTCTTCCAGTGTTAGTTTATGAAGAAATATGACATTTATGTACATTAGTCAATAACAATGATAAGACTTTGCAGTGCATTATCAGAGCATGCAAACACAAAAAAGGCAGTTCATGTTTTTGCAAAGTAAAAATAAATGCCACATAATACTATGTGTGCGCGCATTATAAAATTAATTTTTCTGAGATTTTCAGGTACAAGTAAACACTTGCTGTAAGTTTTTTGTATCCCTTACTGTCAACATGAACCCTCCAAATGCACTGCAGTACATGGATATTTTATGTACTTCAGAAGCATAACATTTAAAATCCATGAAAGTAGTAGAAAAGGCTACATCTTAAACAAGAACCAACTGACAACAAAGCTACAAACACTAGCAATACAGTGACCTTCAGAAGACTACACAGAATATATTAAAAACAGACACACTCATTTCTCTATTGCTGACTTCAGCTGTCTTACCTCTGAGGTGTCCATGGTATGCTTGGCTCAAGGTACGTGTCAGGGAATATGACACGGAAGTCAGCAATCTTATCAATGGCATAATGCCATTCACAATATGGTATCCTGTTTAACTGGAACTGTACTTCAGCTATAAAGTCTGTATCTGGCTTCATTTTGAGAGAGTGCACTGTTGTAGCTGACAATCGGAGGTAGATCATGTTTTTCCCCTTGTCTTCAATCAGAGCTTCATAAACTACACGTTTCTGTTTGCTTAAATCATCATCAATTTCTACGGAACTCTGTGACGATCGTTGCTGGGTTTTGGCCACACCTTCATTTTGTAACAGAAATGTTACATATTTTCAGAAATAGAGAAAAACACAACATACCCCATTCCAATGAGATAAAGGTTAACAAACACACTCTTTTACTGCAAGATTTATGTAAACAAAAATAATAAAAAAAACAGAATATTTTACTGACTTCTACTGTACAAATTGTGGACTTCAACACACATTAAAACATCAGTTTATTATTCAATTCTTTGTGAGTGTCTATCTTTTCCTAAATACCTGCAAATCTTCAAGAAAAGAAAACACCTAAATATAGATGCAAACATTTAATTTCTCTTATCCATCTACAAAGTTCAAGATAAACTCTCATTAACCATACCAGATTCTTGTTTTGATGGAGTACATGCTGCAGTTATCAGCACCGTTGTACAGTTATTTAGTATGAGACGGCCAGCTGAAGTATCCTCTGACACATCTTTTCCAAGGTTCATAAGTGCAAATAATTCTCCTGAATGAGCATATTTTGCAGTGCTAGTCGCTACACCACTTGGAGCAAGAAGGTAGCAATTTGCTAAACGTAACTTGGCTGTTAGATTGTATCTAGCCACCTATAAACATAACAGTAAAAACTGATTCTGTCCTATGAAAACATTAATAACAATTATGGATGATCTGATATAAATAAATAAACCACATGGATAAACTCACTTTAATCATTCGGTATCAATTTAAAATATTTGTGGGAAACCTTGGACTATAACAATTCAAAAGTTTAAGATCAATCTATACTGTGAACAGCAAATACCTCTTAGAAGGGAATAAGAACAATAATATTTTGAATGTTGTTCTCTGCTAGAAGAGGGCTGCAATGTTCCATAAAATGACCAAAAAACATACATATTAAAAATAATGTTCAATCTTCAAGTATTTCAAATTGGAACACTTAGAAAGATGACAATTTTTTTTAAAATCATGCAGTGCAAATCTCATTCTCCGAACCAACATTCCTAATGAAATATTCCATATACAGAAGAAAACTGTATCCTATTTTCAATATATATCCAGCTTTATATCAAAGCATAGACAAGTGTCAGTACAAATTTTACCTGTGCAAAAGAAAATTATATTACACAACTCTGCATCTGTTAATATTCTAAGAATGTATAAAAAGTCAATATAGTCAGATCCAGAAATTAAATTCAGTGGCAGAAATTAAATTCAGTGGCAGAAAAACTTAAAATACACTAACCTGTTCATATCTTGCCATCTCTTCAACAGAAAGCAGTTCATGAATGCGGGCGCGGTAATTATTCCGAGTAAGTTTCTTCTCTGTAACGGTTGACTGTGTAAGAGTAAATGTATCTCCACGAGGACTTGGATATGCATTCAACAGATCTCTTTCATGTTCACTATCTTTTGCAATGGCTGCTGGAGTAGGCACCATTGGAGTAACCGGAGAGGAGAACGCTACAATTTCTGCATTTGTTATATCCCACCGTTCAGCAGTTGAGAGAACCAGCTCTTTGCGAATCTCTCTCATTCGATCAACATCTGTTACAGGTACAACATCTACACACAGATGTCGCACCAGTACTGGTTCTCCACCAAAATCAAACACTACTGATTGCCGAAATGTCCCATAAATGTCTGTAGCAAATGAAACTTTCACCTTGTGTTCTAAAACTGGAGCACTTTCAGATTCCATTGGGTTTCTTTGTTCCAGAGCCCTAACATTTGGTACACTCCATTCCTGATCATTACTTGGTTTCCATTCCGAAACAATTTTCTGTGATGGATCTCCACTTGACACATACCTGTAAGAAGGCAAATTTCTAGAGATCTGTTCAAAACAGTTAATTCATACATCTTGTTTCTTCTTAACCTGTACTGAAAGGTGAAATGGCAAAATAAATCTATGGAAGCACCTAAAATTCAATGAGTCACTTTCAATAACCAAGAATATTCAAGAAAGAACATACTACCAAAATTATACATTTACGAACTTATCATCACCCTGATGACAAAGGCAGCAATAACCTCTGAAACATCAGGAAAAATCTACCAGACTACAAGGTGCAAAACCCCAGAAAACAGTCAATATCATATTTCTTGCCACAAGAACCTGAAATCTCACCTTTATTCAAATGTTGCTTGTTCATTAAGGATTCACTATTAATATTTGTGTACATGATACTAATGTAACAGCTGTGACTGACATCTCATATATTCAGCAAAATTACCTTAGGAAGAAGTGGTTTCGATGAGTATCCTGTAGGAGGGCTACTGCTCGCAGCAACCTACATGTCTGTAGAGTAAAGAGCCATTCACGGTGACTCACTTTTGATGATACTGTGGTTACAAGATCACCACTGCAAAATTCATCTACGCCATCTAACTTCTCTCTCATCACCTTCTCTGGACTTGGAGCTTGGACCCACCTAGACAAAAATGCAGCCCAAGTGACATTAAAAAAAGTAACTTGTGGCATAAAAGACTCTTCCATACACGAAGGAATATAACTTTGAAAGTATAAAAACATGTCCATACACAAAAAATATTATTATACTCCTGTTTATTCATACAAAATAATGGAAAATGTGAAAAATGCCACAAACTGAAAACAGAGTTCTGTTTTGAAGACTATAAAAGAAAATTAAAGTGTCAGAGCTACTAAAATTAAATACAAGTAGAACTTTGGTTCAAAAAGATAATAGCCAGTTAAACAATGATATAATCCTGCAACAACTCTGGCCTATTCTTGTAAGGAAGTGATAAGCATACTTAGCCCCAAAAATCATAATGTGACTTTCTCCTATAAATAAGAGTATTCAAACAATTTAAACTTTGGTGCTGTTTTAGAGAATCAGGTATTATAAATTCCCACTCCTCATCTTTTGTTTAGTACAAGATCATAGCACACCTTCTGAATTGAACACAGTAAATACTTTAAAAGTTCTGAATACACACACAAACAATTAGAAATAATTACTTCTTTCACCTTTCTAGAAGTTGTTCTGTATAAGATTTCCCATACAGTTCCTTTTCACATGCTCGCTGCAATTTCATCCGTCTGTACTCAAACCGCTCTCTCCATTCAGCCAATTCTTCAGTCCCATGTGCTTCAACACACTGAGCACCATACCGGCAAGAACCTCCACCATCTGCCCAGCTCTCACACAATGAATAGGCATTTGATGTGAGTCCACGAGGAGGAGGGCGCCACTTCCAATCCCTTCCCTCGTCAGACATGATGATTGTTTGGTGACTCACTGACTGGCAATGGACGCGCAGCTCCGAACGATCAGAGAATGTAAGACAGCAATAGCTGCACATAGGTTCATTCCCACTCTCGAGATCAGACACTAATGAACGCTTTCCACCACAGTCACCATTTTCACAAACTTCACTTGCACTGATTACTGTTACTGAAAATATTTAACACAGGATTCGAACATTAAAAATCATCTATAACTTGAGATACTGAATATCAGCAAAAATGTACAAAGCATGACTCCCTTCAATGGATCTCTCAAGACATTGCTGTCATCCTTAAAGATTCAAAAACCATTATAAATAACTTGTCAGAACTACAAGTTTAATTTCAAGTAAGGATCTGCATTCATATTCTTACGGCCAGCTCTCTTGCAAATGGAACTATTAATTTCTGAACCTTTCAGATGAAACAGAAGTTCCTCCCTTCAAGTCACGCTCACTAAAATATGGATTGCTGGTAGAACTGACAAACCTACAGCCTAAACATTTCATAAATAAAGTTTACCCTGTTTAAAGTAATGTGCTAAATATGCTCTTCGTTGTTCTGGATGCATTCCTGATGCCCTCTTATAAAAGTTCTTAGAAAATGGTGAAAAATTCCCTTTATATATTTTCTTTCAGTTCTTCAGTTGTGCAAGGTCTTCACAGATAAAAGTCACACTAGATTAAGACCAGAGAGCATGCCAGCAACAAACACTCTCCTCCAAAGCATTCCTGGATGCCTTTGCTATAGGAACAGTAGCAGAGACTTTTTGAAAGAATGCATACTGATGCTCTTCACCTGCTGACTACTCAAAAAGTGGGTGGCAACACCACAGTATCTGTTTCAGGTACTTTTAAGAATTATCTGTGTCCTTGAACAAAATGGTCCCATTCATTCAGCCTGAATTCACACCACTCAAAACAATTTTGGAAACATGCAGGGGAACCTCCTGTATTAGTCTCAGATTGTGAATCTACATTATCTGTCATTCTGAGAATTTACCTCTCCATGTTCATGAAACCAAGCAATGTCAGAAAGGGAAATTTGATGAGGGTTAATTTCAAACCATAACAGACTAAAGGATCCAATTACAAAAAATTGACTGTCACTGGGATCATATGGTTGCTAACATAAACAGAAGCTGAATTGAGTGACAAACAAAGAAGTAAAGTACATCAGAATGGTTTGGATGAAGACCTAATTCTTCCTCTCTTCAAAATTCCTTTACAATAAAACTGTTTATATGGTTACATATGATGTTATACTAAATAATCAGTTACACAGTCACGGAATACTTACCATCACCAATCTGTTGTTGGAAATTATTTTGACGTATGATATCTTCAGAATCCACAACACTGACCAACTCCACAGGATGCTTCCTCCTCACATGTATCACATTATTAACAGTATTCTCTCCAGCAGATTCACAATCATTTGACTCATCAATAAGTTCAACTGGATGCTTTCGCTGCCTTCGAGACCTCTCTGGCAGACCAATACCTGTCCATGACTCTAGTCTTGAATCGAGCGCCAGCAATTCTTCATCCAGTCTTTGCTGTGGAGTCATGTTTCTATGATTTGAACTAGTCTTTTGGCCATTTGCCATTTGAAGTACAATTCTTAAGCGTTCCAGCATTTTTAAAGCTTCAGGCTGATTTGTTGCTCCACCACCAGAAGCCAACCACTCTCTGGCAGCTGCCTCAGCTTCCGCAAACCGATGCAAGGAAAACAAAGAATGTACAAGGCGCCTTCGTGCTCTTGCTCCACTGTTGCTACCACAGTCAACATCTGCTAGAAGTTTGATAACACGACGGCAGTCTGACACAACTACCTCGTGTCTGCCAAGTTCCAGACAGCACTCTGAACGCCCCAACAAAAATCCAACAACCCTCTCCTTAGGTGTACCATTGTTCAAGACAGGGCCCAATAGCTGGTCAAACAGTTCTGCAGCACGACCCCATTCTCTGCGGCGCAGTAATTCATGGGCTCGTGCTTCTGTGTCATTCATGACTATGCCGAATTAAATCAACTGGAAGCCGCTCAATAAATCCCTACGATATTCAACCTAAAATATGAAACAAAATATAATCTAAGTTTACAATACAGACCAAATACAGACAATATCTACGTACTAAATAATGTCAAGCACAACAATTGACATACTATATACTGTTTCACAAAACAACAATTTATATGGTTACAACTTTAACGCGATAATTACAAGTTTTCTATGCTCCTCCTCCTAACCCCTGCCGCCGCCATCTTGCTTATACAACTTTGTACAGATATAACAAGATATTTGCATCAGTAGAATGGCGATCCCACTCTGTACGTTAGATATATATGTTTCATGCAAAATGACATTCACGATGGAAGAAATAAAATATAAACACGAAATAAGATCTCTATGAATCATGCAAGTCGCTACTAATTTCAAGTATGTGATTAATACGAAACATCAACCAAAAAGAGATAGTTGGCCAATGTGGTAATTCAGGCACATACGCCAGAGGGAAAAATGCATTACAAATCTTAACATTTTTCGTTTCAGGGCAGTATTATCAATATACCAACAAAATGACAATCGTACGAATGTCACATCTCAGTGCCATATAGCATGTAAAGTTTGACACCGTAGTGATCACAGATAATTAACAAAGGGAAAGCCGTAGTTGTCTTAAAACTGTCCCAATAATTCTAATAAAAACCACATGAATATATTCAGTTTAGGACCCGACTGAATTGATGCCCGTTATTAATTTGGAAGACGGAATCAGAACAATAAACCAACATGGACATTGCCATCCGACGTTGGCTCGTCT